CCATACTGAATACTATTAGGATTTTTCCAGAATAACTACTCCAAATCATAGCATTCAGAAGATGAAAGAACAAATGCATGTTTCCACCTTCTAAAGTGAAAAACCTAAATGTATTGACACCCACATTTTAAACTTCTCTACTCGCTCCCATTGAAACTTTTATAATGGCTTGATTTATTATAAAAACATGCCTTTGGATGGTTTAACCAGGAGCCTGCTTGGTGTCCGTGGCTGAATTAACATGAGGCTCCTTGTTTGACATGGAGCTATTTATCTATGAGGCATAAAAGGGCACTTTGGTAATGTAAGCTAAGGAAATCACCCAGTTAGCGGGGGGAAATGAGAAATACTGAATTGAGGGAAAGGACAGTTGAAATCTATTTTTATCGCATATTCACATTTTGTTCTTCATTCTTAAATTCATTTCCCTCCAAAAAGCCGCACCATTATATTGGGGAGTAATGTGTCTTGAAAACCTGAGCCAGCAGCTTAGGATCCAGCGGTAATGACTTCTGGAACCGCTAATGAGGGGTGGACGTTGACCGTCTCGGTGCGCTGATTAGGGCCAGCCTCTTGCCTGGTCCACAGAAGCTGTCAGATCAGATCTTTGTCCCGACTCCGTGGGCACTTTGATTCCTGAACCTTTCTGAGAAACCTAATCTGAAATCAAAGTCAAGCTTCTCAGATGCGGTCAGACAAGGTCACATTTAAAACAGCCCAGGGAACCTGCAGATCAGAGTTGAAAGGTGACGCCTCCCCCCACCACACACACACACACACACACACACAGTTGGAACAGGCTTACCTGCTATCTTCCGGTTTTCCATTGGCCTTTTGCACCTCTTCCCAATGGACTGGAGACATGGGAGCCTTTTCTCTGGAAAAATGGCCCAAGAGTTTTCCTTAAAAAATATCATAAAAATATGGACACAGTTTTGGAAATGGACATTTATCCCCATCAGCGAATCACAGGGGATTTTGAAAACATATCTTACTATTTGATAGTAGGACTTTCTATTTATTTATTTTATTTGTTTGCTTGCTTGTTTGTTTGTTTGTTTACTTTGGTACCGGGAATTGAACCCAGGGGTCTTAACCACTGAGCCACACCCCCAGCCCTATTTTGTATTTTGTTTAGAGACAGAGTCTCACCGAGTTGCTTAGGGCTCCGCTAAGTTGCTGAGGCTGACTGTGAACTTGGGATGCTCCTGCCTCAGCCTTGATAGAAGGACCTCTTTTAATCAGATTCTCAAGGTAACTCTGGGTACATGAGCCCTGTTTCTGGCCTCAGTGATCAGAATCTATCCACACTCTTAAGGGAGACAGGATGCCACCCCAGGGTTGCTGTGGGACATGTGTTCCCAATGCCCCCTGTGTTCCCAGTGGAGCCTTGAGATAGGATCCAAAATGGCTCTGGAAAAGGAGGGCATGGTGACTCTGGTGAGATGCGCTCTTGACCTTGACTTCTCTCAGGCAGGCTTTACCCACCTCCATGTGATTCAACAACTACAACCTTGCCGTTGCTTTATGTTGCAGTGCTCTGTGTCTTGTGGTCGAGGGCACAAACAGCGAAATGTTTACTGCATGGCAAAAGATGGAAGCCAGTTAGAGAGTGATTACTGTAAACACCTGGCTAAGCCACATGGGCACAGGAGGTGCCGAGGAGGACGGTGCCCCAAATGGAAGGCTGGCGCGTGGAGTCAGGTGAGCAATGCTTCTCCCTACCGGCTGCTGCCTCCCGCCGCGGTCGCTCCCGTTTCTCTGCATGGGCTTGGTGTCACAGAGACTGGGAGGGACGAGTCTTTATGGGACACTGTGGACACTCACCAGGTGACCTTGAGCAGGTGGATTCAGTCCCTGGAGCTTTGCATAATACCTTCTGGGGGTGATTGCAAGGAGGAGTTCCATGGGGTAGTGGGTGTCTGAGGTCTTGCACCCCTTGATCCTTGGCTAATGGCCTTGGTCACTCACCACTTAGAAAACCACTGGTTCAGGTCCCATGGAGGCTGAGTGGGTTTGAATTTATCTTGGAGGTTCTCTCCTTCCTTCCTTCCTTCCTTCCTTCCTTCCTTCCTTCCTTCCTTCCTTCCTTCCTTCCTTCCTTTCTTCCTTCCTTCCTTCCT